CATATTTAAGCATTCTGGCATGGTAACGTACCTTCGATTCTCTATCGTTCGCGAGTTATTATGGCGCAAAGTTGGCTTTTTTTTTTGACCCACCCTGTAGATTTTATCGGGGTCCTTAAAATTAGGTCGAAAAAAAAATTTAAGGACCCCGTTAAAGGTACACTAAAGCCTCGTTGGCTTGGTTACCGGCCGGTAACCGTCCGCGGAATAGCAGACAGGGTTACGGTAGGTGCTCGCCGCGTGGCAAAACCGAACCCGCGCCACTCGCCTAGGGCGGGCGCTTTAGACCACTAGGCCATGAGACAGACGGGAGAGGGGAGAGGGAAGGGGTATAAGAAAGATCCGGACGTTGCGCGGCAGAGGGCCTGGATTTCCGACCGCGAACTGACTTTTTGCACGAGATTTTAGTGTACCTTTAAATAACGGGGTCCTTAAATTTTAACGGGGTCCTTAAATTCTGCGGGGTCCTTAATTTTTAACGGGGTCCTTAAAAATTATCGGGGTCCTTAGATTTTATCGGGGTCCTTAAAATTAGGTCGAAAAAAAAAGCTAAGGACCCCGTTAAATAACGGGGTCCTTAAAAATTGATGAAAAAAATTAAGGACTGCGTAGCTAAAGCTAAAAAAGAGTGTTTGTGTGTGCCAATCTGCATACAAATTCCGTCACCATTTCCGGAGGATATCTCGATAGCCGATGAATTTTAAGGCATGTATGATAAGTTATTTGATCCGTACTGGCCGTCAGATGACTGCACACTGACCAGATTTTACAAAAGCAGTTCTTCTAAACATTAAATTTAAGTGTTTGTAAAAATTTCCGGCATCGACTTTGTTAGGAAACAATCATAACAATCAATCCGAAGCGACTAGGCCCCGGGTGGCACGAAGCCTTTTCTAGTCGCAGAGCGGAAGAAGTAGCAACTACTTTCCCCCCAAATCGTGTGACTCCTGTCGCAAAACAGTCTTCTAACGTTTCTATGACGAAATTCGGATGCAGGCTAAAAAAATAACCAAAGGCATGTGCCTAACAAGCACCGCGCCGCAAAATTCGCGCCGCCATCTTCGGCCGCAAAGTTCGCGGCACCTTAATTAGAAACTAGAGATGTTACGCATACCGACGCGACGTCGGGATAACATGGAAATTGGGATGCAAAGTCCCAAACAAGCTTGATAAAACGATTTTTTTGCGCCTTGCATCCTAATTTGCATTTTATCCCAACCTCGCGTCGGTATGCGTAACACCTCTATTAGAAACCCAGTAAAAGTAGGCCATAGCGTTTACGAAACATTCGATGTTAAAATTTTATCGGGATTTTTTTCTTGAATTTTAAGCTCTTTTCATTGTTTTAGCAATGTGAAGGAATGCTAAATCGATGACTGATTAAAAGACCGTCCGCCGGCCAGTCGAAATCGAAAAGCTAATTGTTTCCTAACGAAGTCGATGCCGGAAATTTCTACAAACACTTAAATTTAATGTCTAAAAGAACTGCTTTTGTAAAATCTGGTCAGTGTGCAGTCATCTGACGGCCAGTACGGATCAAATAACTTATCATACATGCCTTAAAATTCATCGGCTATCGAGATATCCTCCGGAAATGGTGACGGAATTTGTATGCAGATTGGCACACACAAACACTCTTTTTTTTAGCTTTAGCTACGCAGTCCTTAATTTTTTCATCAATTTTTAAGGACCCCGTTATTTAACGGGGTCCTTAGCTTTTTTTTTCGACCTAATTTTAAGGACCCCGATAAAATCTAAGGACCCCGATAATTTTTAAGGACCCCGTTAAAAATTAAGGACCCCGCAGAATTTAAGGACCCCGTTAAAATTTAAGGACCCCGTTATCAGTATAGAACCTTTGTTTCTTCTACGCTAGCGTTTTCGATACTGTTGCGGTTGTAGTATTTATTCGAAATTCGGGGGGGTAAGAATGATCATCGAAAGTCCAATTCTTAGAGCTTTTAAAAATTATTTTTGGCATGCGAAAATTCACCGGATATAGAAATAAAAATGATTTGGGAATAGGGACTCATTTTTCTGTTTTATTTTTCAATCGCCGCGCTTTGCGCTCACACCTATAGCTTCCGTTAAAAAATTTGTCGGTTCCGTCGTCGGTTATTTTTTTACTGATTTTATAAAACTCATCAATCATTTGATCTATAAATTTTCTATCTACTGTCTCGTAATGGCTATGGAAATCGGCTAGCTGATGTTTAAAGATGTTACGAATAGCGGGGAAACGGTTGTCAAGGAATTCGACAGTACGAACAATATTGCGCTCGTAAAATGAAGTACTATCAAGAGAAAATTCTTCGCCCCACGGCTCCTTGAACATATAGTATTCTTCGATGGTTTGGGCTGCAGCTAGCTCTCCTTCAGTAGGTTCTGTCCACGCTGGTCGTGGCCACTTCACCCAGGGCCCACGAGGCGTGAAGCCAAGCTCAGCACGCATCTCCTGTAGGCCGATCATGTACACGGAATAGTGGAGGAACAGCCAAGCAGCACCTCCTCCTACACCCGGCCTAAATATCATAAGCATTGTCGGACTAGCAAATTAGATAACATAACAAAACCCATAATGACAGAGCCCGGAAGCAAAAAAAAAATTAGAAGACCGCGTTTGTCTTGCATATTTTTTTTAAAACACCGCAGGTTTGAACACTGCACACCTTCAGGTCACTTTACAAAATTCGATTTTTTTAGTCTGAACCTCTAAAAAGTTTGTAAAGATAATAAGATGCGCGTGATCCCCATCCTTGGTTCCATAAACGGTGCAAATTTCAGCCCGGAATTCCATCAGGGCTTCGAGTTATGGCCCGGACACCACGGCCGGCCCCGCGGTTTATTAAGGACCTTTCAGAAAAATCGTTATAAAAACTTTATTTTAAAAAATTTCGCAAAATCCGAAAAAATTTATCTGGGGAATTAGTTTTGCCATCTACCCTCCAAAAATGAGGCCTCAATTCCTTCTAGGGGCCGAGAAAAGTTCCGGACAACATTAGCACCCAAAAATGTTAAGGATTTTTCACATTTTTGCTTGTAAAATCGTGAAATGAAAGAATTTCGAAAAATCAAAAAAACCGTTTTTTATGAATGGCATTTCCGACCTCCATGCCAAAAATCAGCTCGAAACTCGGCCGGACGGCCGAGAAAACGGCCGTACAGAAAACAGACATACTTTTCTCGCTTATAGGATAGGATCTGGGGATTTGATCGCCTCACGAACACCACGCCAATTTTTTAAAGTTAAACTTACTTCAAAGCATGATCAAGTATCTTGTCCAGATCGCTGTAATTGAAACAGGCTCCAGCTATATTTTTCAGCTCTTTGTCAATGTCAAGTGGTGGCGATGTCACATTGTGAAAGACATCATTATTTTCTGGAGTATTTGCAGTTGTTGATGGAAAGATTGGAGTAGCAGTGCCTTCTGAAATCAAACAGTCAAAGATTAAGTATATGAAGCTTACGTGTATACAAGACGATGGCGATAATTGCAAAAGCAGCGTGTTTGGCTGCCATTCGACCAGCTGAAATTAGGTTTTATTTTGAGGTATTTATGCTAAGGATAAGCGGCAAAGGGTTGTCCGAAATAGAGATTTGCATATCTTGAAATTGGATATAATATATATTTAAGATATATTAAGATATCTTAATTGGAAGGGAAGGGATGGGAGACAGTGAAAATGGATCACCTGACCCAATTTCTAAACCATGACAATCGCTGGCTGGATGAAAGTGATCCTGATCGGCCGTGGGAGGACATACGACCAAACAAAATCTTGAAAATCATCTAGTAAAAAAAGTTTAGAGTAGACACGCGTATTTTAGAGACTCCGACTGTCCTATCAAAAGCGCAAAAGCACTTCATTTTCGATCTATCATACACAAAAGTAGTTTTAATTTACTTGTAAGAGAACATTTTTGTATTTAGATTCCATTCAATCCACTTTATTTTCAATTTTAATTATCGAATTTAGTCCCGTTGTAAAGAGGCACTAAAATGTACGTGCTTGATTTACCAGACGAATTCATCAGAAATCCCGTTGCGTGAATCTGATGCGTAGTTGACGATGAATCCGTAGGAATTGGCCATTAGAATTGCAACATTTATTGCCCTTGCAAATCAGCCATCACAATCAACGCTTCAAGAATGAATAATAAGGCATTCATGAATAAATCATACATGGCATTAAAAGAATTGAATTTAACACATATTTAGGATTTTGCAAATACGAAAAATTTGGCTTTTGCGCCTGCAAAAATTTTGATTTTTAATGTTTTTAACATAATTGTTGAATTATCGGAAAGTACCAAAATCACCGTCAAAATACCGTATATTATTACTAGCCGTTTATTGGCAAATTCGGTATCGATCACAGGGCCCGATCGCACTCATACATTATGTCAAAATGTTTTTTGGTTCCATCTCTTGATATTTTGGCCCTCATTTTATAATACTCCTCAATCATCCCATCAATAAATTTCCTATCAACGGTCACATTACGGCGATGGAAATCTGCTAACATTTGTCTAAAAATGGTCCGAATTGCCGGGAAACGATTGTCAAGGTATTCGACAGTATGGACAATATTGTTTTCGTAGAACCAAGGACTATCGAGGGAGAATTGCTTGCCAAACGGCTCTTGCAGCATATAGTATTCTTCGATGGTTGATGCGGCAGCTATCTCTTCTTCAGTGGGCCATGAATACTTTATCCAGGGCCCACGAGGTGGGTAGCCAAGCTCAGCACGCATCTCCTGTAGTCCAATCATTGACACCGAGTAATCGAGGAAAAACCAAACAGCAGCTACCATGACAGACGGTCTAAATATCACAAAAATTTTGTTAGAACAAACTGTTGTTTTATGCGCTTTCCGGGCCTAGCTTGCCATCCGGTATATACCTCATTCCTATTAAAGAGATGAGGGCGGCATTTGTTGAACCCCCCTTGGGGAAGGGGGAAGGGGGTTCAACAGATGCAGCGGCGAGAGAGGGAGCCCAGGGGAGAGGTGCAGAGACATTTTCTTTCCCGCGCGTAATCGATTGATTTATGCGTAGGAAGGCGGCTGCCTCCCACCCCCCCCCCCCCTCCGAATCCGGCGGGCCCAAAAAAAACCTAAGGGTTTTCCTTATCATTTTTTCACTTAAAGGGATGCCGACGGCATAGTCAATCAGTTACGCGCTGGAAAGAAAAGGTCTCTGCGCCTCTCCCCCGGGCGCGCTCTCTCCACTGTTGGCTACTTGCCAATTTGTTGATGGGGGGGATCGACACATGCCGTCGGCAGCCCTTTAAAAATTTTTTCGTCTGCGGCGCTTGACTGTCTCGAAATTTACAAAATTTCGAGACAATTTTCTTGCTGCCCCCTCCGAAACGTCGCCCCCGAAACTTGGGGTCAGATACGCCCCTGTGCGCCACGATCAAATGGTAAACTACGGTCACAAGTGTCGCGTCGTAAGCCACGGAAATGTCTCATGGAAAAAACTAAAGATTTTCAACAAATCACACCCTTCAAAATTGCCGCCGGCATCGGAGAAAAAATTGCTCTGAAAGAGAGTTCCACGTTTTGGCGTTAACCAAAGGCGCACTTTCGGAAACATCCTCCCTCCATGCCCCGAAATCCTATCAGGAAAAATGATTTCATTGAATTTTCAAAGATTTCAATTTCATTGAGAGGGAAACTTACTTAAAGGCACGCCCAATTATGTGGTTCATATCGTCCTCGGTGAAACAGGTTTTGGCTATATTCTTAATTTCTTTGTCAATGTCGAGTGGCGGAGACGAGATCGTCCCAGTTTCAGCAACATCTGCGATTTCTGTAGTATTTGTAGCCGTTGACGGCACGCTCGGAGTAGAATTGCCTTCTGAAAATGATGGACACGGGTTCCAAAATGGTAACCATTTCAAATGCAGGTATCATGCTTACGTGTTTCCAATAGTAGTTTATTTTTCAGTTGGTCATTGTCGAGCGCTGGAAGTGAGGTGGTCCCATTTTCGAAAAGATCATTGTTATCCAGAGTATTTGCAGTCGCTGATGGCAAGATCGGGGTAGCAAGATGGCCCTCTGAAATGATCGAGAGGTATTTTAGAAATAAGCAACGTTTAAAATGTATTTATCAAACTTACGTGCATACAAGACGATGGCGATAATTGCAAAAGCAGCGCGTTTAACCGCCATTCGGTCGGCTGGACTGACTGGGGAGGTATCTGAACTCGGCATCGAACTTTGAGAAGTCAGATACACCATTCGACGCGCCTTGTCGAGGGCATTCCAAATATGTAATCAAATCAACCAGAGCATATAACCGTAAAAAGTTATGAGCATTCGAAGTCGACAAAATGGTGAAAAACAGTATCTTTGAGACCCTGTATCATCCCGCGGAATGGAATTTAGCCTAAACTGATTAGTGCTCCTTATTCAACAAAGAAAGCTCTTTCAAATGAGCTATGTTACATACGCCTGCCAAAAATTTCCGTAAAAAAATATTTTTGGAATGCGGCGTAAGGGTAGGGTATGGCCAGCATGCCGAAGACGTTTCGAATTTCGCGTAAAGCCTATGTAAGATAGCCCATTCGAAAGAGAATTTTCTGCTGATCAAGATGTACTGTTCGATTTTTGACAAATTACATTCTTCGAATTCGTACAGAGTCTTAAAAGGGCGGTTCTTGACGATTTTGCCAACTTTGATATAGAGAGCGTCCAATCCTGGTCTTGTTGCCCGAGGTTATTTTATCATCGCTGGTGCCTTTTAGGGGCCACACAGTCAAGAAAAACTTATTCCCGAGTTTGGAAATGCAAAAAGTAGGAACTGGTCAAAAAGCAAAAAATAAAAATCGTGAGTGGATCCGAACCCTGGTCGTACAGACAGGAGACCCATGCGCACACCACAGGCCACGAGACCGATGAACAGGGTGCGCTGGGAGGGGCTCATATCGCCGCGGCGGATTTCGCTGCAAAACTTAAAATGCTCATAACTTTTTATCGTTATACGCTCTGGTTGATTTTATTACATATTTGGAATCCACTCGAGAAGGCGCGTCGAATGGTGTATCTGACTTTTCAAAGTTCGATGCCGAGTTCAGATACCTCCCTAGTGAGGTTTTTCTTATTTTGGGGAAATATGGTTTGGGACAAGCGATAAAAGGGTGCGCAACAAATTTTGCATAGTCCTGAAATTGGCGCCTCGCCCGGCTATGATAATTAGAAGGGAAGAGATGGGAACAGGAAACGAATTAGATGACCCAATTTCTAGATGATGATAATCGCATGCTATGCAGCTCGATCCTTAGCTGTCGCCCATTGGGATGAGGCAGGCCAAAACAATGGTCTAAAGAGAAAAACTAAAGAGAGATAAACGCGCTTTAGAAGGGATATTCAACACGTACTAGATACGTCCGTCAAGCGATTAGAAATTCCGAAAAAAAGGTGCAACTTCCGTCATAGACAAACGGTGCGTCGCCCCGGTCCGTGGATTACGACGGCCGAAGAATGTTTGCTACCCTTGAAGGTATTGCTACCCTGTCTTTCAAGTGATATCGTTTTATTATGCTCAAGCCAAGGTTTTTTGGCTGCAAGGATAGTCTGAATTTAATCGTTTTGTGGAAAACATAGTTCGTTTTTGATCCTTTTTGAGAAAGTGTTTTAGTGTGAATCGTACCCTGCTAAAAAAACTCGTAAAAGTCCATTTATTTCTGTAAAACTATTTTTTGTAAATTTTTATTCTCATCTGTTACGCAGCTAGTCCTACCCGTTTCTTTCAACAGCAATTTTGATCCAAGTTAAAAGGGCACTTTGGAGCCCTATATGAAATTCCGCCACAATAGCCCTTATCGCCCAGCTCCATTTTAGGTGTGAAAGCAGTTCTTTTTGCCTCTTCTTCTCTTCTGCTTGTCGGCTGACAAAATCGATTTTGACAACTCCAATAGGATTACATTTGCTGCCCATAACAAATGGGTCAATCATTGGCATGCTTTCAAGTTCCAGAAAAGAAGGTAGGTTCATAGCCGTACTGTGCCATCTATGTCTATTAGAGTTTCTATGGCAAATCTTTGTCTATTAGAATTTCAAAATCCAAGTTTAAAATAATGTTTTTTATTCCAGCCAGAAGACTCGGCCGATTTCATCAATCTTCCAAACGTGATTCACCAACGTATCCTCGAATTTATCGGCACGACCGATCCAAAAACACGATTCCGCTACGCGAGAACTTGTCAATTTCTATGGAAAATGACGGAGGAATCAAAAAATATTTGGTCGTTTTATGACGTGAGGTTCTATGAGAAATACACGTCTATTAAGTGTCTTCCGCTGTCATCATATCCATCTAACACGACCAGAATTGACAGTTTTCGTACTCTCGAATTGCTATTATCCGGGACAACGGTCGATTTTATTGGAAGATCGCCAGGTGCCGTGCATGAGATTCCATCGGAAATGCGAGCATTCCAGATACAAACCACAGAGTTTCCGGAAGACTCCAATGCTCGACTCGCGCAACTCAAAAAGATGCAACCACTGCATCATAAATACCGATGCCTGTATCTTATCTCAAATTCTCCGGAAACCCCATCGCTAGAGCTCATCCAATATCTCAGCGATAACGCTGAGGCCCTATATATGTATGTGGAATTTGACCCTGAAATATGGCGCGAGATGAAATGCCCGAGATTTTTGCTGACCTTTAAAGGGGATGATCGGTACGTGGTGAAAGAGTATATCGATCTGTTGGTGGATCAGTGGAGATGGGGCCAGCGAAAAATTGACGGCATCCAAATTCGTACAACCTGGACGCAATCCCTCATTGTGGATTACCATCGCAGCATTGATGAAAAACGACTGAGTTTATATTGGACTCATGGTAATGGCTGCCTGCTACGGACAATCGACGACGAGTAGTATTTCGGCTGTCATACTTTTCCATTACTAATTGTTTTTGATTCATTTCATGATGAGCTAGCCCTAAATTTATGCTCATCCACATCTTGTGTAGTTTAACATCGTAGTTTTCCCGCAAAACAGCCCCTTAAACCCTCTGATTTTCCTGTGCTGAATAAACTTCGCCATTTTGGGCCAAAATCCATGACCAAGATCAAAACAGTGTACCTCCGCACTTTATTACCTGGATACCTCGTACAACACTCGTACTGTCTATCAAAATGCTGCTCTCAGCTGTTCTATTGGTGTTGTGTCTGCAACTATCGATTATCTATCCCTCCCTCGCCCTTTGACCCACCCGCCGTTCCCCCCAAAACGCACTCGCCATTTTTTCGGCGCAAACTTCTCTAAATCCCCAGGAATATGGCGGCAAACATGGAGTTCAAGGAAAAACTGCAGGTAAGGACTAGACAATCCTATCCTATAAGCGAGAAAAGTATGTCTGTTTTCTGTTCAGCCGATTTCTCGGCCGTCAGGCCGAATTACCGGCTGATTTTTGGCATGGAGGTAGTGAAACACATTTGTCAGTGACAGTTTTTTTGGTTTCGCTAAATTCCTTTATTGGACAATTTTACAAGCAAAATAGTGAAAAACCCTTAACATTTTGGCCAAAAAAAGGTATGTCCGGAAGTTTTCTCGGCCGGTAAGAGGAGTTGGGCTCTGATTTTTAGGGGGTGAGTGGTGAAAGCAATTCTCCCGATACTATTTTTTGGGTTTTGTGAAATTACTTAAAATAAAGTTTTTATGAGCAATTTACTAAAAGGCCCTTAACCAAAAGGGGCCAACGGTCGTGGTGTCCGGGTCATAACTCGAAGCCCAGATGGAATTTTGGTCTGTAATTTGGTCCACGTATGTATTCGATAGTGGGGATCACGCGGATCTTATTATTTTTGCAAATTTTTGCCGCACTCAGACTCAAAAAGAAAATTTTGTAAAGTTACCAGAAGTTCTCCCTCCCGGGGTGAGGCCCGCCCCCAGGACAGAAGAGGGCTTTCCCGCCGCCCATCGCCGTCGCCCCGTGGTGTAGCGGATTGGCGCGCGGTCTAACAAGCACGTGGTGCGGGGTTCGAATCCGCGCCGAATTTAACTTTTTGCTTTTTGAGATTTCAACAACAAACCATATTGCTAGGGGCCCCGGTGTGCGGGGCTTAGGCCTGGCCCTCGCTCTAGCGCCGCAGGCCAAAGAAAACGTACTTGGCCCAGGCTCTGGCGCCGCAGGCCCAATCCCGGAAAAAACCAGTAACTAGCGCCGCAGGTCCAGAGATTACTAAGCAATCGCTGGCCCCGGCTCCGCAGGCCAAAGAAAAGGTCCTTGACTTACGCTTGCGCGCCGCAAGCTAAATCCGAGCGAAAAAATCAGTAGCTTGCGCCGCAGGCAAATGAATGGTTCCTTGAGTCAGGCTCTCTTGTGCCGCAGGCTTCAATAAAAGGAAAGGGAATTCCTGATTCCTAGACGGGGTCCACTGGAAAAGGGCCGCGAAGCGGTCTTTTTCCACTGGTTTATATTTAAGCCATTTT